TCTGACTGAACTGTGGGCTGGCTGGGAAACAGCTTGTGTTGAACTCCTGCTGGACAGTCCTGGACCAGAACCACTGTAAACTGCAGGACCAGTGTTGAAGCTACTGCTCTGGACTGAATGTGGAGAAACAAAGCCTTGTCTGACTTGATTCTGGGGATAGCTGACAGATTTCAGCCATCTGCCATCTGGTGGTGGGAAGCCAACATTTGTGTTGCTGTTCTGGATGTTCTGAGCTGCAGGACAGCAAGACACAACATGAGTGTACTGAAGCAGGACATTTGACCAATAGAACACTGGCTTTTCTTCTTACCTCCTTCAGTCCAGAAACAACATACATGCTCTGCTTGAACAAAGACAACCACCAAGATTCTGTTCAGGAAGCAAAACAACAAAGTCAGGAAAATAAAGACAAGTGAACATTTCAATGAAAGCAGCTGCAAACACTCACCCCAAACCAAGTCCACAAGTCATTTCTGAGTCTCAACACAACAGAGAGCTACTAGGTGTGTGTGTGTTCACAGCAGTGATTTGGTATTTATTGGAACCTGCAGCCAATCACAACTCAATAAACTGATTGTCTGCAGGTGCTGCTGATCTGGAGTCAGGAGGTTCTTCTTTTTCTTAACACTGTTGTCAGCTCCTCAGTAAGTAATGTGGTTGTTGGCTGTCCTAAAAGCTGCTAGAAGTTGCCATCATCTAATTTTCATATTTGGACTTTGCCAAAAAAAGTGTCTTGGTTGTAGAAGCACAATGACCAAAATACTGTTAGATGAGGCACAGAGTGATGAAGTGACTGAGGCTGAGTCAACTATAGCTGGGTCCAGGGATTTATTTTAGTGTTTCAATATCTTTTAAAATAACAATGCAAAACAAATCACACAGGGAAACTGTGCCCACCAGTTGGCCTTTTCTGCAAATCAGAACCTATAAAAGCTCTCATTATATACTTGAAAAATACAGTCAACACTAAATAGAAATTGTATTTGATGTGTGGACTTGTCTTTATTTTTAGCAGTGACATATTTCCCTAGTGTCAAGATTAGTTTTTTTTTTTTTTTTTTCAATTTCTTGTCCTTATCAATTGTGCATTTGTGTTGGGTACATATTCTTGTATTTTTTCACTTTTTGAACATCATGGCCTGGGGATTGTTGATGAAAAATAGCCTTTTGGCTAATTCTGGCATTTATAACTTGTGAATTGTCAACTCAAATTAAAATCTCATTTAATTCATTTAATCTCCAGCTCCTTCCCTTTAAGGTCCTAATCACTATAGGTCAACTTGCAGTAGTGGGCACAGTTCCCCTAAAGCACTAATTGGGGAACTAATTTCCTGATTAGTGCTTTAGGGCTTTTTGCTCATTTTAAAATTTATTAGTGGATTAGCACTTGCTAAATTTAAATGCAAAATTTAGAAGCACTGAGGTCTTTAAATGTTGTTATTGTTAACAGCTGAGGGTGAAAGCTGTCACACATTTTGTTCATAGCTATGTGTGTCACTTAACCACCAGGTGACAATATATTGACAACGTATGAACTCAAATACGGCTGTGGAATTTCAATGATAATTTATGAGAGCAACATGGCAATTTGTGACTCGCTGTTTGTTGAAGAATGTTCCATAGGTTGATTGGGTTATTTTAGTGCTTTAATATTAGCTTTTGCTAAAAATTTCAGTGCATTGGTGATTTAGAATTAGGGGACCTAAATAAATTTTAGGGCTAGTGGAACTAATTTTTAGATTAGTGCTGCCCACCACTGTCGACTTGTAATCTGATGATTAAGAGTTCAATTCTCAGCCCCTGTATTACACTTAAGTATCCTTGTACAAAACACTACACCCCACTACCCCTGATACGTTTACCAGTGTATGAGTGAGAACATAAAATGTGCTTTGAACAAACCTAATTCCCAAAAGGTTGGGATGTTGTGTAAAATGAAAATAAAACAGAAAGCGATGAGTTGCAAATCTCAAAGCTGTTGGAATGGATGCAGTAGCATTTAGCATAGTCTTCCTAAGTTATTCAAAAAAGATGTCTAGATGGGAGTGCGTGGTGTTTTACATTATGTATTGTATGTACTTTTCTGCATAGAGGATTTGCAGCTTTAGACACTGTTGTACCCCCATACTATCAAAGAGGCAGACTTTTGAACTGTGTCGGTTTTTAAAAAGGAGTTAAAGGTTGTATCGTCTGACCACAGAACTCACTTCCATCCACGCCTCAGTTCATCTGCCTGGATCCAAGTGGCCTCTGTAGGGTGACCAAGCTTAGGCATAACAACTAGGTGACATTTGTCATCTTGGAAGAACTCAGAGATATCAAAAGATACGTGGCAGAAAATGGATGGTYGCTTCATTTTCTGTTCCAACGCATCTCCCCTGGTCTACCTTTATGTTTGCGAGGTGCTGTCTTCCAAAAAACATTTTAAGACATTTCTTGTTGCTCACTTTAAAACAGAAATGTTTTCAATTAGACAGTAACACACTTTAACAGTTATAAAAATAAATCTAAAAACATYCCAGGCTTTGCTCAATAACATATCTGACCATGCACGCAGAATGTCCTGTATATGCTTGATTTATGAACAAAATAATCAATAAGTAAGAAATGCAGAATAAAACTCTGGAATTCAGCCACAGTACACCCCTGAACCGTTTATTCAAAACACCTAAATCAAATTGGAACCCAATCATTTTCTTAACATAAAGTTAGGAAAAATAAGCAAAATTGTAATATTTTATTTGTAACAAAAAAAAAACAGCTTAATGTTTCTGATGCCTGAAAGTGCAAGGATTAAGAACAAATTTAACAACACAAACCACTGTTGGTACAGCTTGTTCTGGTGCTGACCTCTGCAGTGGCTGCTTTATACACCACCAGGGAAAGAAACACACCTGAAGGATTATACTTTGAAGAAAAAAAATACAATATGAAAAGAGTACAATTACACTGAGAGGAACCTACCAGTCCTCTGACAGTTTTAATGTCACTGTCAGAATCAAAACAAAAATCTCAGTGTGTTCAGTCTTCTAATACACAACAGAGCACGTCTGATAAAACAATAAAAACATGCGCTCTAAACACAGAAGGCTGGTGAGATAAGGCAGAAACAAAAAACTTTGCCCAAATCTACAAACAGCAGTTTCAGGATGTTCTCTTCAAGTTTTTAAAACAGCAGTTGTGCGTCACCTGAAAGGATCATTTCAGTCCTTTTTTGTTTTAAAAGTTCAAGTTTTCTCAGGTCAGTGAAATCTCTGAGGACTCCTTGACATCGATCACTCTGAAAACTCCAACCTTCTCCTTCATGCTCCTCTTGTCTTTGTCTGAAAAGAAAAGAACAATATCCAGTTAATTAAAGGGATCCCMGATTAGTTGTAAMATTAGACTTTATTTGATAAACATATATTTTAACTGTAAAATAAAGACTGTAAAAATACTGTAGGCTGTTCAGTTTTGTAAATTTTTAAAACAAAAAGTTAAAAAATTTATTACACGGATGGRGCCATTTTATTTACACACAAAGCATTCTGGGTAAATGATGACATGGATAGGTCATTGGTGTGAAGCTGCTAGCGAGCTACATCCACCCTGAAGGTTAACATTGGACAATATCTGACGATCGACTCTTTTAAATGAAACCAGAGAGCGTTGACAGAGAGGAGAAGGTAGAAATGACTCAGCCTGKAACTGAAAATATGGATGGAGGACAACAGAGCTGCTTCATGGAAGAAGAACCTCAGCTTAGCCTGTTAGCTTTAGCTCTAACGCTATCACCATATTTATGTATTAGCTCTGAGCTACAAATTCTCCTCTCATCACTGAGGTCCTCCATCCACATGACAGAGAGGGGAATGCAAAAATGACTCAGTCTGCAACTGAAAATATGGATGGAGGACCTCAGTTTGGCTTGTTTGTCGCGCCGAGCTAATACATATAAGGCAATATAGCGTCTGTGCTAACGCTAAAGCTAACAGGCTAATCTGAGGTTCTTCTTCCATGAAGCAGCTCTGTTGTCCTCCATACATATTTTCAGTTACAGGCTGAGTCATTTCTACCTTCTCCTCTCTGTCTGTTGTTTGATTTGTTAAAGGCATCGTCCTTTTAATCCTGCATCAGTAGATTGGGCAGCTTTAGGAGATCGCAACAGAAAACCAATTCTTTGCYTTCTGCCAACTTATCTTCTTTTTATCACGAGAAAAGCAGTTTAAATTATTTTCATTCAAAAGGAGATTAAAAACATTTTAAGGACAATGGAAAAGGCAGGTAGTTTGTATCTGTTCTTGGAATTTTATCCTTCTAAATTTTTAAAAATTAAATTGTATTATGTATTGTACTGATTATGTTTGTATCCATATTTTTTGTCCTTAATGTTAAAATTGATTTCTCTAAAGAATGTGAACCCTGGTCTCAATGAGGAAACTCAAATAAATAAATGTGGAACATAAATCACATTCCAAATTTATAATAAATCATTAAAAATAAGTTGATTTTTTTCAAGAAATGTCCTGTAATCCATGGTTGATGATACCAACACTGATTATCAGAGAGTCTGAGTTACCAGGAAGACAAGTGGGTTTGTAATTTATAATATAAAAGCTGATTGATGCAGCTCCTCACCCAGTAAGTCGCTACGATCCAGTAAAATATCCAGGTCCTTGTCACTGATCACCTTCCCTTTGGAAGCCTTTACCTCCCTGAGAGAACACATGAAGTCAAATGTTACTATTAATGTTGATAAATTAAGGCTCAAAGCAGTGAGTCTGTAGTCACTACTTTGACTCGCAGCAGAGGATTGTTTCTTACTTCTCAGTGCTTTTGGCTCTGAGCAGCTCCCGGAGCTCGTCCAGATCGACACAGCTTTTGTTTTCCTTCAGTTCTGCCTTCCCACCTTTGAATTTATCTGTAGAGGGAAGAAGAAGAAAAAMCATAAAAAATATATTTCACACCACTTTTGATCCATCACTGGCAGACAATTCTTGTGTTTCAGATTTTATGAGGGGGGGATAAAACGGAAAATAAAATTAAATGAAAATGTAATGAAAAATTTTTCATGTCAATAAGATTCAAATGTAACACTTTTTGTGCCATTTAAGGTCTTAAAGATTGCAAGATCATTTTAACAACTTGATGCTTTTTAAAGCTTCAGGAATCCTGAATGTGCTGTGATGTCTGCGACAGAAAAAATATATAAGAATAATGTTGCTGCAGTGGGAATCAGAGCAGGCAGTTCAGCCACTCACTTTTGTGGATGACCATTTGCTCCAACTTCCTCTTGGTCGAAGCCCTCTCCAGGATCTTCTGGTCGATGGTGTTGGCYGTGACCAGGCGGTACACCACCACAGGTTTGGTCTGTCCGATGCGGTGACAGCGGTCCTGAGCCTGAAGGTCTGCCTGGGGGTTCTGAGACAAACAGCGGGGACATTTCAAGTCAAATCCTGACACCACCTTGTTTATGATTGTAGCCTTCGCTCCACTACTGTATGTCATGTCCACTTCCTTTGTTTTCAACGTCAAATTTCACAGTTGATTGTCTAGATCAAAAACTCAACCCTATTTTGCTGGTTTTAGTGGGAAGTTTCTTGCTTTCAATGAGGTGAAAAACCACCACCAAAAAAAAAAATGTTTTGTCTGAAGCCTCAGGTGAAAATAGATCCATGAATCACTGACGTAAGCTGAACTAAGAGTAAATGTTTTGAGAACTGCCGAGTCATCACAACAGCTGAGTTTTATCTGCACCCACCCAGTCACTGTCGAAGATGATGACCGTGTCTGCAGCTGTCAGGTTTATCCCGAGTCCTCCTGCTCGRGTGCTCAGCAAGAAGATAAAGATTTCTGGATCTGATGAGAACTTTTTCATCTGACAGAGAAACAAGTGAAATCACACAACCATCAGACTTTGACTAGAACATGAAACGAGGAAATGCTTGTTCTCAGAGGCCAGAACGAACAAGCTGAACCTTTCTTTTACAATTTTACAAATGAAAACTTACATTTTCGTCTCTCTCGGTGTATGACATGCTGCCATCCAGTCGACTGTACTGGAAACCTCTCAGGTAGCAATAATCCATCAGGATATCCAAGATGGACGTCATCTGACTGAAGATGAGAACCTGTCCACATTGATTGTATGAACAGGTGTTAAACATTTCTTTATGTGAAAATGTGTGATTTTAAAACTGAAGTTGGATTGTTTTGGTATTTATGACATGTTCACAATGATACGGATCTTCTTTGTTTCAGAATAGTTGTCACAAGTCAATTTATAGTTTACACACCATAGTGTAGAGGACAAGCCTAATTAAATTATTTGACTTTGTAAGACTGTATAACAATMTGTTACTTTTCAGTACATCTATTATAGAGAAAAAGATTATTCTCTCTGTTGGTGTTGCATGACCCAAAGTTAAAGTTGGACACTTTGTTTCACCTTGTGTCCTCTTTTCTTCAGAGCCGGCAACAGCCTGTCCAGTATAAGAAACTTCCCAGAGCTCTGCACCAGCTGCTCATCAATCTGCAAACAGAACCAAACGTGTTCGGTTACTACAGAAAACAACCACATTCATCAGATTAAAACCGACACTTCTTTGTGTTTGGCTAGGAACCAACTCTTTCATGCAAACCACATGAATGAGGAGAAACGACATGAGAAATCCATGAGTTACCTTGAACTCCTGTGTGGCGGGGTCCAGTGGGTACTCCACCAGGTAGGGGTGATTACAGCACCTCTTTAGAAGCATGAGAATGCTCTGCAGCTTCAGGGTGATCTGGGCGTCCAGTGGACTCTGAACCTCCAGGACTGGTGCTGGGCTGAAAAGGGAAGAGAAGAAAGAAGGGATGAAATGAAACTATGTAGCTTAAATCACACCTACTAAGTTTAGACTGTTACAGATACAAAGAGAATACAACGAGTCATTGATGCTGCAGAGATCAGATTCAGTGAAGCTCTGTAGACTAAAGACAAACTGAGCATCTAAAAACTGATTTCACTTCACTTTAATGGCGACAGGAAAAAAAAAACATTGTGGCTGACCTTAGCTCCGCCTCCTTGCGGATTCTCTCCAGGTATTTCTCCAGGGAAAGTGTCTCCTCATTGTCTTCGTTGTAGTCCACTATCTTTCTGCTCCGACGCTTTGGTCTGCCGCTTGATGTCAACGCCACGGGAGCCTCTTCCTAAATGTACGAGAAGAGAATGTTTCCATGAGTCCTTCATGGTTGGGACTAAACAAACATGACAAAACAATCAACACAGTGGAATTCTAGTTCAACTCGCATGTTTTTTAAGGTTCTGTGGTCAGAACGATATAAATGTTTAAAACGTGTTGAACATCAACACAATTTGGCACCAAACTAGGTTTACTAAAAATCGTACCATGTGCAATTAATTCAGATAAGCTTTTGCCAGCTATTATTTGGCACTTGACAGTAAACATGATTAATGGCACCGCTCTGCTCCTCTTCTCTTTCCTATTTTAACCCAAATAATGGCTCGCCTCCTTCCTTGTCAAAGTCCTCAGTCTGTCTCAGACTGTTTTTCCTCCACCATCTCTGACTTTAAGCTTACCTCCTCTCTCTGAAAATGTTCTGACGGCAGCTCGGTCCATCTGTCCGCAGCTCCACCTTCATCAGCTGCAGCTCCACATTCAAATATCACATCGTTTTGACTCAAAGACACTAAACTGACTAAACTAAACTACACCCTAACTTTAAAATCTAAACTCTAAATCTCTCTCAAAAAGATGCAAAAGTTGAATAGAGTTTGACAGCGAGAGTAATTAGATTTGAGAGATTTTCTTCCTGTAGATTGTTTGGTGCTTGTCAGATAATTTCAGATGGCAGTCAGAAAGGTGTTTGGGGGTTTTAAGATAATTTGGCGGGGTAGGGTTGGAACTAGAGGGTGGATAAAGGTATTTTTTTTCTGTGAATCGGCTCCTTTTTTGCTGCATTCCACTAAAATTTGTTAAATTATCTTAACTCCGGTTTTACTTTAACACATTTTAAAAACCAGTGTACAGCTTGAAATCTGTACTTTTGACACAAATAAGAACAGATTCTTAGAGAGCGATGTGGATGTGTTGGAGTCAAGGGACTCCAGGAGATTAATTGTCATATTATTCATTATCGGCTAAGTGTCGCGACTAATCATAACTCTTTTTTTTGGTCAATATAGCCCAAACCTACACCAAATACAAACAGGAAAGGAAATATGAAATTTAAAACACAAAATGGCTAAAAATGTAGACACTAACATTAAGTTTCTCTTGATGACAGGGATACTTAATATATTAGCAATATTCTGCTCTAATATTGGCAAATTGTAAATAAAAAAAAAACAACCAGGTTGTGATCGTGTCAGTCTGTGGTGCTTTTACCTTTTCTTGGCCCAGCATCTTGGCGATGGTCTTGTTGACGACAGCGGTGTAAAAGGCTTCCTGCTTGGGTGTCAGTGGAGCATAAACAACTATCTCCTTCTTAGGAGGAACCTCCAGCGTCACATCTGACTTCAGCCTCCTCAGCAGGAACGGAGTCAGGATCTGAGACAGCAGGACATTGATCATTTACAAAATTTGTTTTTTCACTTGGGAAGAAAAAACTATGGAAATGGATCTAAGTTATTATTCAGGAAATTCACACCTAAAGCTGTGTAAAAATAAAAAAATAAAAACTCACAGCAAGTTATTAGAATCCTGACTTGATAAAACATAAGCAACTGTAGGCAGAAAGTATCTGTCTTTTCAAGACCTTGTCAGATAACTTCACCACCTCTGTTGGTGCCTTTGTATTGACTCTGGGGGGTTCAGTTATATACAGAACTATTACATATAGAAATATGTAGTCATGTTAGAATAAAAAATTCTCTAAAAAATCTGCTGTCTTAAATTAAATGTTATTTGAGTGCTTTTGTGTGTTTTCACTGGGTGTTTTGCTTTGTAGTAATTGATTTTTGTGTTTTTATGTCTCGTGGGGCTCCAAAAACACTAGTCTCTGCTGTGGTGGAGACTAATGGGGATCCAAAAGACTTTTGACGCTTGGAAGGAACTTTATCTTTTCTCCTTTAGAGAACACTACTAAAATATTTTTAACACTCTGAATAAATATCAAAGCATTAAAGCCCGATGAGACAGAAACTCACCCTGAAAATCTCTTCAAACGTTGCTGTGCAAACAAGAAGGCTTATGTTAACTTTGACCAAGGTTCAATTCCCTGGATTTAGAAGTATCTTAGATGGATCATCACACAGTAGAAACATTTAGCATGATCAAATAAATCAGTACTCCACTTCTTCTTTTGGAAGAAATAGGATGCCCCAAAATGGCCCCCACAGCTGTGGAGGACTGACCTGGTGCAACATGCTCAGGATGTTCTGCTCCCGTTCAGCTACCACCACGTTCTCAGCCTCACCAAGGGAGCTGATGTCAAACCACGACTCAAAGCTGTACAAAAAAATTAGTAAAAGATACAAATAAGAGATTAAAACTGAGCAGTTAGCAACATGGGAATAAAGGGTGATAAAGAGCAGTCATAAGAAGTCAAGTCATAAAACAGATGGTCTAGTTCCATTCGGCTCAATAAAGAATCAAATCATCACAAAAGAAATTACTCAAATATTAAGAGCCCTATGAGCCAGACAGACAGTTTATCTTTAGCCTCGACAACAGATGTTATCAATAATGACACAAATCACCTCTTGAGGTCATCGAAGACCTCTGGCAGGAGGAAGTTCAGGAGGGACCAGAGCTCTGCCAGGTTGTTCTGCAGCGGAGTGCCCGTCAGCAGCAGCTTGTTGTCAGTGGGCATCGCCTTCAGCTCTCGCACCAGCCGACAGTTGAGGTTTTTGATCCTGTGACCTTCATCCACTATCAGATACTTCCATTGGAAGCGCTGCAGAAGGAAACAGTCAGCATGCATCAAACAGAAAATAAATATCATTTTCACACTGTTTTACTACACATCAAGCCAATTTAATTTGTTACAATCAAGCTAAAGAGAAGACTTAAAACATTTGGTTGTATTCTAGAGCAGGGTTATTCAACTGGTTGTGTTCATATAAAACAAAATTAATAATAGAAACTTCAGAAATGATGCAGYTTTTTTGTTAACATTTAACACTCTGTAAGAGTATACCTCGTATGCTGTGAATTTCTCTGATCTTACAGCTTTGTTTTAACAAAATTCTATTATTTTTACAGATTTTATTGTTTTTAATTCTTTGCAAAGGTTTGGGGCAGTAACATGTTTTGGAGGGCTTGGACCCCTGTCATAACTGCTTACACTTCTAGTTAAAATTGTTTCACATTAGAATTTCACTTGTTTGCAATGAAATAAAAATGCCTTACCTGCAGATATTTTCTGTCAATCATGGAGATCTCAAAGGAGGTGACAACTACAGGAAACATGTTGAGGGGTCCCTGAAGCCTGCGAATCTGCTTCAGCAGCTTGGCCCTTTCCGGCTGAGAGCCATGGTACAGCAGCACAGACACCTGGAACGAACACGTGACCCTGTTCAGACAGCAGAGTAACAGCACGTGCCACCAGAGTCAGTGCTGGTTCTGAAAACTCGTCCCGTTACCTCTGGTGTAAAGCGCTTGAATTCGCTGATCCAGTTGGGCAGAGTGGAGAGAGGGGCCACCACCAGGAAAGGGCCCATCACTTTCTTTTCTATCATCATGGCGATGTGAGCGATGCACTGAATGGTCTTGCCCAGTCCCATCTCATCAGCCAGGATCCCGTTGATGCCGTTCTCCCACAACATCTGCCGCCACAGGAAACGACACAGGCTGATGGGTGACCACCAACAAAAACTTGAACATCGAGGCCACCATGAAGCAGTCGGGGGCTTCTGAGATGTTACTTTGAAATGCAGCATCAAATAAAACCTTGTTGCTGACCACATTTTTGAGTTCAAGAATTCTGGGTAAAAAGCCAATGATACTTTTACAACAGAGGCATATACAGACACATAAAAGATCTGGTTCTGCCAGTCTCACCCTCAGCCACTCGATGCCCTCKATCTGGTACCACCTCATGACTCCTCCAGAGAACAGCTGTGGTTGCTGGACAGGAACCGGCTGACCGTTCACCTTCCTGTCAGGATGCAGGAGATGCTTGGCGTTTTCTCGAACAGTCTCAGACAGGCGGTCCTTGATGTCTTGGTTGGAATCGCTCAGCTTTTCGATATCTTCAGCTTCTAGTTTCTTCTGGGCAGGAGAGGTGGTCTTCAAAAAAAGATGAAGTGCATTTTTAGCTCCACTTAGACTAGATATACGTCACTTTAGGGCGACAGGAGGTAGGGCTTGTCCTGTAACCGGTGGGTTGCCAGTTCCAAACCCTGTTCCTTCTGTCTCAGCTGTTGTATCCTTGGGAAAGACACTTTAACTGCCTTGACTGTTTGTGGAGGTCAGAGAGTCTTGTGGCGCCAGATCGTGGCAGCCTCACCTCTGTCAGTGTACCCCATGGCAGCTGTGGCTACAATGTAGCTTATTATCATCAGTGTGTGAATGTGTGTTGATGAATTAGTAATGTTTAGAGTTCAAAAGTACCTGGCAGCCGGTGATTTTTGCAGATTAAAATCTAAATTTAGACACATTTTTGCTGGGTTCTTCTGCTGCAGTCCATTTAAATGTATATATTTTTAAACATGTTACCAGGTTTTGGGATCATGACAAGTAAACATGAGTCACGCGTTTCTCCGACATAACCAGAACAAGCTCTATAAAGCATGCCAACACATCCGTACTGTTGATCAGTACAATATGAAAAGACAAGTGAGAAAAAAGTCAAAACAAAATAATGATTACCCCTTCTTCCACTTTTGACTTCTTAGCCTGTGACATGATTTCCTGAGAAATGAAAAAAAAAAGTCAAGCAGAGCTTAAGTAAGCAATCAGAAAATGTTAAAACAAATGTTTAAAAAAAAACCTTACTTCTTTTGAAATAACATCTGCTATTTTGTAGTCTTCATCTCTCTTCCTCTTCTTTTTATCTGGTTATAAGAGAAAGAATGTAAATATGCACTTAAATTGTATTTGAATTAATCACAACTTGTCAATGCAAAATGTTTTTTTTGCACAGTCTACAGAAAAAGCTTGCTCACCTTTCTCAGTAGCAGCATTGTTTGTGTTTTGCATCTATAAAAAAAGACACATTTAATACGTATGTTAAGACTAAACCACAGTATATTTTAGGTCACCCATATGTTACCTTCTTGGATTTTTTTTCAACTTTTTCCTTCTTGATTTTCTCCTGAATTTAAAACAAAAAACATATTAGATATTAGCAACTACTAGTCTTTGTGACAGTAGAGTTACACTCAAAAGGTACCTCAATCTGTTGCTGCTCCATCTTTGTCAGAAGGAATTTAGAGTAGATGTTGCTCTTCTGAAGCAAATGCTGCAGTCGTTTGTATCGCAGGTCCTGAGAGTCCCTCTCCCACGACTCCCGGGCCTTGTGGTAAAAAAACAAAACAACAAAATAAATAAATAAATAAATAATCAATGTTAGTAAAAGCGAGGAGGAGGACTCTGCAGAACATTGTCCTGTGGGCGGAGACAGCCCAAATGGTAATTGGTTGGATTGACGGTGGGGATTGAGGAGGCTGGAGGCAGCGGGGAGTAGCTTGGTTGAGTCGGGCAGGAAGTAGCGTTTTTTTTAGATGAATTTTAGTCACAACTTGAGAAAGAAAAGTGCTACCTGCACGAAATTTGAATGTTGTACGTGTGAAAGGATGTGTAACAATATGGCTTGGTTAAAACATCCCTAACCAGCCTGTAAAAAGATTGCTAAAAATCAATATCTTTTTACAGTCTGTTTAGGGATGTTGTTTTGTTTGTTTGATACCTTCACAAGGGTTTTCAAAGATCTTGTATGTGTCAGGGCTTTGCTCTTGTGCCACAAGAGTTTTGAACATATAAACACTTCATCCTTCTTAGTTGGGTTTCCATAAGTCAGAAAGTGTTAGAAATGTGAGACAACTTTGCAAGGGGTTGGCGACATATGAAACTAAATTTTGAGGAGCTGGAAAAGGAAGAAACGGTTTTTGTTTTGTTTTTTTCTTGTTAGTGGCGAAGACGGAAAGGAGTGAACTTCGGCTGCATGTGCACGTGGTCAGTACCACCACCAGCTGCTCACCAAAGCTGCAAATCGTGCTAATTTAACAAAATGCTTCTGGGAATGGATCAACATGCGGGGAAAAAGCGCTSTTCCGAGTGCCACTCCACATGAACAAACACGCCCACAAAGAGCTGCTAATGAGAGCTGCAAGGTCCACAGGACAGAGTTCTGTCTGGKGGGGAACCTGTGTACTCTCAGAGAATTATGACCCACAATTTAGAAGAGGATTTATGCAATGCATGGAAACTTGTCCATTACATGTGCTTCCAAATGAAAATTCTGAATATTTCTTACTTTGTGTCAGCTACCTTCACAACCCAGTGACACAGACATATGCAGGTGTTTAAACACCAGTTTTTCCTTTTAAATTACAAAGATTTAAATTACAAAAGGGCTTAATAATGCTAAACAAATACTAAATACRCCTAAACATAAAATAACCCAAACTTATACATGACACCTAGACTATTTATAAAAGGGATTTTTTTAAGCAACAAACCTTTTCAATCATCTCTTTCTCTTTCCTTTCTCCTTCTTCCATTAGCTGCGTTTCCTCCTCCTCCATTTCCTTTGTGATGACTACTTCAGGAATGTTTTCAGGCTTGCTGCTTCCCTCTTGAGAAACATGAACATTGAAAATCATTTCTTTGCCGAATCCATTCTCATTCAGCCAACCAGTTAACACACCAATACTACTTTCTGAAAGCTCAAAATGACAGAGCTTTTATTTTGTGGACTGACCAGGAGTAGCTTCCGTCTCCATTGTTGTGCCCAGGGGCTCCTCGGACTCATCAGGTTTGGGACACTGAGGTGATGCGCTTCGAGTTTCCTCCTTCAAGCTGCCACCAGCAGAAAGAACATATCAAACCCCCCCACAATGGTTGTTAGAGGGAGACAGGAAACACTTTGTTCATGTGTCTTAATATCTGAGAGCACTCAGCTTATGGGGTGTGCTGAGCCTTTATTGTGTAGAAACACAAAGGTGAGCTGCAGTCATAAAACATGTAGTGCTTTCCCTGCACGTGTGCACTTTTTGACATATGTGCACTTCCAGCATTTATCAAGTAACAAGATAATAAAGAAAAACTCTTTGCGGAGTTAAAACAATAGTATAATTAATGTTTTTCACACATAAAATTCAAATCAAATGTCTAAATTAGCTTATGGAGATTTAAAAAAAAACTTTACATAACTTACCAGCTCATTGTGAAGATAGTTCCAACTTTCCAAGGATTTTAACAAGTTTTAAACGTTTCGTTCAGCAAAAAAAAGTGGTTACACAAGCCCGTTTTCCTAAGCAGTCATAAAGCTAACTACTTCGTTAAATAGCTAACTGGACGGAACTGTCAGTTAATACGTTAGCTAGAAGGGGTCAAAAACAACGCGACTTAGTACAGAAATAGTTTCTAAGTGCAAAAATGCTTGCATAAAAGTAAGAAAAGCCGACTCTACAGCCCACGAGTAGCCTATGAAGACCGAGATGTGTGCCACCACGATGCAGTGAAGAAACGAGGAATGTTTTTCCGGTATTTGACTTTCAAAATAAAACTCACAATTACATGTAATGCTGTGGAACAAAGCCAGAGACGATGCATCAACTTTTATTTTGACAAGAAATAACTACTTCCTGTTTGACATTTTTACGTATATTTGTCCGACTTGACGCAGGTAAAATTTCAATAGTAGGCGGGTCTAAAACATTTCGCGCCAGTACAGACGAAAACATTACCTCTAAAATGGGGGTGACGGATGGTATAGGGTTGTAGTTGTTGCAGTATTCTAAAACTTCAGGCTTACAGAGAATTACGTGTACAACTTGAACAAAATACTACTATGAAAATGACAAAGAATATGTGCGAAAAATATGAATTTCTGTTTAATACAACGCCACTGAAAACTACTGCCTCCCCTCGGAATGGGAAGATTTCTCACTCCCAGATAAACCTCTTCCATTTGCAGAAATTGTATTTTTCATTTCATGTTTTGTTACGAAATATTAAAATTAGAATAAACTTTTGAGAACTTTTGCTTGTCTAATTGTGGATTTTTTTGTGCCTGTCTGTAAGCAAAACACATAAAATGCTACACTACATGCTCTGTTATGTTGATAAATTGTTACAGTCTTCAGATTTTTACAGAAAGATAAGATAAAGTTCTGAAATAGTTTGTATTTCATTAGTTTATCAAAGCAAACAAAATTTATAATAAACACATTTCTTCTTGTGCTATAATCAATAGTTGCACAATTCATATTAATGACTTGCTCTTACTGATTTGATTGACTCCTGTCAATTTATTTCTTTTGACCAGAGTTGTAAAGTAACTAAGTACAACTACTCTACTTAAGTAGAACTTTTGGGTATCTGTACTTTATTTGAGTAATTATTTGTCAGCCTGCTTTTTACTTCTACTTCTTACATTTTCACAAAATGATCTGTATTTTCTACTCCTCACATTAAAAAAGGCAAGAAGTAGAAAGTTGTTACTTTTATTTCATTTTTGCTTGTTTTCATTCCAGCTTATTATAAAAAATAAATAAATACTATCCATATAAATTGCACCTCCTATATAGAGTGAATTTAATTATAGTTGAATGAGAAGTATAAATATATAAAATYCTGATACCRTRTTAGTTTGCACACAAATAAATCATGTCACACTCCAGCAGGACATAATCATTAAAATAAAAGGACTGTACTTGAGAAATATTTGTATTTCATGAATTATATTATTACATTTGGCCGCAGCCCTTGGATAGATTTTCATTTTGGAGAAAAGGTTTGTGCAGCCTTGATATATGTTTATAAACTGAAACAGCTAGACTAGTGCATCCTAAATTTAACATAAATTAATTATTTTAATACGATAGACATTTCTGCATTTTTGGGGGAGGTCACCTCCTAATAAATGTCCTTACAGAAAATCTATCTGCTCACTTTAAATCAACACTTTTACTTTTAATACTTAAGTACAAAAATATCAGATACTTTAAGACTTTTTCTTAAGTAATAATCCTAAAGGAGACTAACTTTTACCAAATAATTTTTTTTGGTGAGATGCTTGTATTTTTACTTGAGTATCACTTGACCCTGGTTGATTTGCATTGACACACAAATGAGAATAGCACCTCCAATCTTATGAAAATTGTCTAATAAAGCTATTTGAGCTTGTTAATCGTTTCCCAAAAAATGCTTAGGTTCAAATATTTTTGTCCTTGTCAGTGTCAATAATAGAAAATGAAAAACAGCCACCTGGTAAAAGCTGCAACAGTTTAAGCCGACAGCAGAGGTCAGTAAAATTGACACCTAAACTCTCTCAACCAAGATGGATATTTTTCTGCATATTTAGTTTTAGATTTTTCTCTGGTTTATGCATATTTTATCTCAATGCTTACACTGTATTGACAAAAAAATGCACCAAGTATTAAATTGTTCTGGGCAAAGTACCAGCAGAGAATCTAAAGGTTTAAAATAAACACTAATGATTTTTTATTCTTAAAAGACTGGATAAAATCTGCTCCCCATAAAGTTTCAAAGCAGCGAATGTGTGCATTTATCGGAGCGTTTTGTTGTGAGCTGGTCTTCAATCAGATGCAGCCACACAATGAAGCTGTGTTCTGACATTCATCCACAAAACGCTGCTGCCAGAACTCATCGCCCACCACTAAAAGAAGGCAATGTCTTGGTTCATGTCTGTGTTAGCAAAATACCTCATGAATCACAGATTTGAATGTTAATGAAACTTTCAGGAAATGATCACAGATATTTACGACTGAAACGTTTGGAGTCAACCTCATTCAAGATGGCTGCCACAGCTATCCATCTTAAAACCAAACTTATTTCATAATTCGATGTTACAGATATGGAGCAAACATGTGGTGTGGTAGTAGCTGAGACTGATCCTCAGCACACATTGTAAGCGCTAACAGATTGCACAAGAACTTAAAATTTTGTTCCAACTATTTGGAGCCTACTTTAACAAAATRTCTCACACCACTAGATGGATTTCAGTGAAACCAACACATTTGTAAAGTTTGTCCTGTGTCGGTATGGTAAATAAACTGTTCTACGTGTTAACAAGAATCCTTCCGTACAGTATGATAGTACAATATTTATTTTCAATTTAAGTGTTACATGTTGAGCAACAAACTTACAGTTGTCTTCAGCCACAAATTTAATGCAAAGATTCAAGACCAATCCAATAATGTGTCAAACAAGAAAACTGGCAAACTCCATTTTACATATATATACATAATGTTTATGTACATATACTGTTGCACTTGACTTTATAGAACAGCTGAGACAATGTTGTGCAGAGGTTGGTAAGAAAAACTTAAAAACACCTTCAAATGAAGACAGACGGACACATGCTGAAAAAGACAGCAAAAGGTCACAGAAGAGAGAACAGAAACCTGAAAGAAACCGATTGGCTTACCAACCCTGCTGTAGGAATGCAGAAAAAACACACACGCTTTCTCTCATACACACATACACACACACACATAAACACAATGTTGTCATGAACTTGCATTCAGAGGGCCAAATTAAAGAGTCTCCGAGAGGTTTGGGCTGGACGGGAACTGGTGTGGAGGGGGAGGTGGGGGTCAAATGATCAACTATCAGTAGAATTTGTCATCAATGCCAGGACAGTGACTAGAAAGATGCTTTAGTTGTTTTTGGTAGTGCGGCTACATTATGTACAGTACAAATACAGGCGACTTCATCTTGTTCTCACATAAATACAAATCAAGTCTTCCCTGTCCGGTCTCGCATGTGGTGAGGGTTGGGGGGTATTTTATTTTATTTTATTTTTTTGGGACACAGTGGCATTTAGATGGGGGTGGTGGTGGTGGTGGCCCGGGTGTGGAAAGGGTGAAGTGGTTTTTCTCTCAGCAGCATCCTCCTGATGAGGTCTTGACAGTAGTGCCTGGAGTCAGCTTCACGTTGGGCTTCTCGCCTCCTCCGGCGGTGGCCCCGGGGCCCATCCTCTTCTTGATTTCAGCAGCCATGGTCATGAAGGCCTGCTCTACATTGGTGGCATTTTTGGCGCTGGTTTCCAAAAAGGGAATTCCCAGAGAGTCAGCAAACTCCTGGAGGACAGGAAGACAGTGAATGATTTTTAGGTTTACTTTTTTTTTTTGTGTGTGTGTGTGTGTGTGTGTGTGTGTGTGTGTGTGTGAACAAAAATATAACAAATGATAAAACAGACATGATAAAAACAAACAAAATAAAATATTAACTATCAGAAACCATAAACACAACTTAAAAAATGATCTATTATGTTACACTATAAACTAGGTGGTCCAGTAGTGAGCTGCTGCTGTGGGAGGTCAAAGTTTAAGCTCATTTCTGAGCTCAGGAATAAGAAATAAAGCTTAATGACCATGAAACTAAATTCTATGAGGTAAAAACCCTCAAACTATCTGCCTTCAACTTCTTTGAGAAACCTTTATTTTAAATCAGAACAGGTTGTACCTTTCTCACAGAGCATGGACTGCTTTTTTATTCTCACACTATTGTAAGTTAAGTAGAATTTCACCTTTTGCACACTAAAACTAAAATAGAAAACTAATACAATGAAATGAGATATAAAAACTGCATGTGTGTGTATATCAGGGGTGGAGGGTGGCACACTATGCACCCAGGTGTCTTACCTTTGCCGTTGTGTAATCCACCACCTTCTTTGTTGTCAAGTCGCACTTGTTTCCAACCAATAACTTGTTGACGTTTTCACTGGCGTAGCGGTCRATCTCCTGTAGCCACTGTTTGACATTGTTGAAGGACTCCTGAGACAAGAAGCAAAAAAAACTGTCAGCGACACGTTAACTTTTCAAGAATTCTGCTGTAAAGTGGCCAAATGCTTAAGAAAAATGTTCTTGGCATTTCAGAAACTATATTCTTGGTTTAGATTTAAAGAAACACATCAAGTTTTTCATGTTAACCGATCATTTAAAATAAAAATGTTCAGTAGATTTTGGCTAAAAGGGTGCCAATGAGACAAATGATACAATAAACTTTGACAGATTTAAAGAAGCATGAACCAGATGTAYGAACCACAAAACAACAACATAGAGCAAAATAAGGCTAAATTAAACTGCAGCAGGCAACACCACCACAAAATCCTTCCYGAATAAGGAGTTTTTAAAAACAGACCTTTACTAAATATAAAACAGTCCCAATCAAAAAAAATAACAGCCCTTCTAAGAAAATGATTTTATATTGGCTTTTTTGAAAATTATTTACTGTTCTGATCTCAAACTAATTTCTACATAAAAAAAACACTATTATACTTTAATATCCATCAACTTTTACCATCATTAAACAAATTGAAAAATCCTTTTCAGGCTAAATCGGACCTGTTCTAAATCAGTGAGATGAGTGTGAAATGATGCGGTGTTGGACTCACCTGGTCTGTGACATCGTACACTACAATGATACCATGAGCACCTCTGTAGTAGCTGGATGTGATTGTACGAAACCTCTCCTGTCCCGCTGTGTCCCACTGTTAAAAAACAAAAAGGGATTTATCCGATTCTTGCTTTGCATTAAACAGAGAAAGATTAGATATATTTGACAAATTGTCTCCACTGAAACTTTTTACTTAATTCAAAAGAAAAAAACCTGCTGTTTCCTCTCTGTCCTGTTATTCATATTTCATGTTGATGTTTTTTGTTTTTCTGTCATAGAATTTCAAGTTCTTAAGTCCAAAAATACACGAACTGTTAAGTTTGGCTGAAACTTTTTTTTATTTTAAGCATTACAGGACATGTCAGCACAACAGGCTTCCAGCACCATCTACAGTCTAATAAGGGTAAGCTCATAAAACTCAATTGTTTTGAAGTAAAACACAAAAGGCCCCAGCTGTGATTGTATGCAGGGCGCGGCTGTAAGATGACTTTCTATATGCTTTGGAAAACTGATGAGACGAGAAGCTAGCATGCTGCAAGGAGTTAGCATGTGTGCAGTGTTTGGCTTTTGTTGTGAAGATGGACTTGACCTGTTTACAGCCATGATATCAAAAATCTGATTCTGTAAACTGCAGTTAAAGTGGCTTATTTAAGTTTATTTGGAGGTGACATAATTTTACATTAAAAATACCCAGAAGTCTCTTCATGGGTTTAACCCCAAAATCGCTGAGTTTATCAATAACTAATGCTTGACACAGATATACGTGCTGGTATGACAACAACCAGTAAGGTGATCTGAAAACATATTTCTGCTCTCATTTCATGTTGTGCCTTCAACACTGCCATGACCAAACAAACATCAGTCATAATTAGTTGCTCCAATCTCTCCTCCTTCAGAGGGCTGGAAAGAAAACCCTTTCTGATCGTGCTTCCTCTGTCCTCAACGTATTCACTAACGCTGCCAGGAAAGAAGACACAAGCCACCCTGTGAGCAGCTCAACAGGAACCTGACTGTGTCCACCATCTTCTTTTAAATTAATTCATTAAAATACAGCAGCCACTTTCTACCCCAAAGAGTGAAGAGAGATTTGAAATTTGAAGCATGATTGAGACTAAAGATAWTCATAGCCCTTCTATGAACTTTGGCCATCCCCAGTTTTCTCCAAACTTTGTTTTCAAAAGTGTATTTTAGACAAATCAAGAATTTGTCTACATTGTCTAATCTTTAATTTGGTTTCAGTGCTTGTGTTTGTCTTATTTGTCCTGTGATAAACTTGCAATCTGAGCACCAATGACCACCCCCCCACTACCCAGAAAGGGGGAAACAGATGACGATAATGTTAAACCTGTGCGCCGATACAAGAGCCTGACATTATATTTCATAAAACAAAAGTCTTCAGTTACTTACAATTTGAAGTTTAATGGTCTTTCCATCTAGTTCTATGGTTCGTATTTTGAAGTCCACACCAATAGTGCTAATGTAACTTTCTGTGTATGTATCATCCTGTGGAGAGAAATTTAAAATCAGTTAGATGGTTCAAATATCTTGTTCACTTCCTGCTAACATATCGGGTACAAAACCGCCAAGAAACATACTAAGTTACTAAGTGTGGAATCTCACTAGGTTGTGACTGGTTGGCAAAAAGCATTCACAAAAGAGTCTCCAAAATCTCTCGAAATGTTTGCAGTGGTTCTCAGTTTTCTTGCTTGGTCAGACTCGTTCAGATTCAGTGAATCTGCAACTAAACATTTGCCATTTTCTTGCATTTGAGTCACCAGCTACACTCATATAGTTACAGTCCAGTGAAAATACCAGCCATACGACTGTTGTCAATATGTTGATTAAAATATACATTTGTTAAGAAAACCTGTAGGAAATCAAATCAAAATTATTTTTATATAAAACAAACCATCTGAAAGTAATTCTGGGGAAACTTACTGCAAATCGAAGAAGGAGACAGGACTTTCCAACACCTGAGTCACCAATCAGGAGCAGTTTGAATAAATAGTCACTGCAAAGGTAATATAAAAACAAACGTGGTTAGAAGATAATCAGAAAATACTAATAAAACCAGCTGAAGGTTAGGTTGTCTGTGGAAACATGAATGACTCAAGATATTTCACTTTTCATGGTTAAACCTTGATGAATTACTTTAAAATTGCTTCTCAATTTATCAGAAGGGTTCTGCAATTTACAGAGAAACAAAACTAACAATGAACTGTGCTGAGCTCAGCAACATTTTCAGACTGAAGTCAGTGAAGATGACTGTTAGTGTGACTGAACACATGAAGACAACTGAAACAGGGGAGATGSTCACGACACACGTGTCGGTGACCAGACTGGGTCATGTTTAGAGGGATCCCAGAACAGGATAATTGAGATGCTGCTGACCCGGTGCACTCCCCATCCCTAAAAGTCCCTGTCTAAAGCTTGAGTTTGCAACAYTGAGCTCCAGTCGTATAAATATGTAACAATAGATATTAGAAATGAGGTGGAATGTACTTGTAATGTTTTCATATTGTCATCAACACAGCTCACAAACTGATTTGATATTCATGTCAGAAAGAAAATGCAAATATTTATTTATACTTTGTCAGAAGTTTCTTAAACATTTTCTAATTGTTATTATCAGGCACACAAAGCTTACTCCCATTTTAAAATGTGAAAACATGAGGCTCAATATCTGAAATTGTGCTCTGTACCCAACAGATGTACATGTTTCATCTCTAAAGCTGAGGCCTGCTCCATAAATATTTTCCACATCAGAACAAGCRGCAGTATCTGTATGTACCCACTCAACTTTCTACACAGAAAACACACCTTTCTGAGATGTCCTTTGTGAAAAATGTGGAAACGTTTGTTCTGTTTTTAGCTTCCTCCTTTCTAAACCGATCGGACGCAGAGTCATAGAAACCTAGAAGGCACCACACCTTTAAGTTTCTAAAACCTCTCGGGCAACTTATCAACAAAGGAGCTAGAACAAGTACTTCTTCAGGGTTCTGGTGAACTGATTACATAACCACCCAAGAAAATACAACATACAACCTACCTAATGATAAACTGGAAAGCACCTACAACTACCAGTCAGTGAGTGAGTGGAAAATGGAAATCTTCAAAAATTCACCATTAGCATAAACACTTGGAGCACCAACATAAAGAGCTTTATTTTTTTTACTCTTGACCTGAAGCTGGTATTCTGAATAGTTTCCAACCCTCCAGAAATGACCCAGTTCAGTTCAGCCTCTTTTTGTAAGGAACTCCAGTCATTCCTTCTTCATTAAGCTGTGAACAATATGTTCTTATACACAGCTGGCTGCTCAACCAAAGTTTAAAAACAGCAAACTGAGAAAAATAAACCAGTCTTGAATAAAATAGAAAGATAGAAAGTGTTTTAAGAAAATGTGTGATTAGACTTTTCCTCCCCTTTTGTTTTTCCTAAGACTTTGTGGCGCTTTCTCACTCCAAACTGAACCGTGCTTTGCTCTGTTTCTGGAAGCTGAACTCCCGTGCAAATCACTGTACCCTTCTTTCACTTCCAAGGGTTGATATAGGTACTTTGTTGGCAGGATCAACATGGAAAATACACAACAGTGTAACTGGAGACAAGATATAAAACTGGAATATTGAAACCAGAGAACTCAACCTTTGTTTAAAGCAGGTCTTTCTTTGTTTAACATATTTGGCTTTCTTCACTCTCTCAAACTGTCCACCTTATTTTATCTAAAATATGGAGACAGTTACCCTCAAATGAGAGAGATTCTRAGTCCTGGCCTGAAACCAATAGAGTTAACTTATCTGACAACACAATGCTCTGTCTTTATTAATTAAAGAAGCKACCCCGGCACCTTAATTTGCCTGAATTTTAATTTTAATAGAAATATCTATTTAGAGGTCAAGATGAACAATTAAGCAGGGGTGTAAGAAAATAGCGATACACTGAAATATCGCGATATTTCATTTTCCGATACTGTATCGATATTCTAAAGTCCTATATCGATTTTTAATTAAGGTTTAAAATGTCAACTTTCCTGCCAGCCGTTCCTTTTTATATTGTAGTTCAGCCTCTGACCACTAGTTGGCAGCAGCGAGCCAGATATTTGGCTCCTCTACCTCTTGAGCACCAGAGAGTAGGGGTAGCATTAGCATTGTACATTAGCTTCATGCTCCGATAGCTGAATCTGAGCGGAAAAGACCGACACCCTCTGCCTTCTAAGCTGAGGTAAGGTTACAAACATTTACTTATTTGTCAGAATGTCTGTATTTAAAGACAAATTAAGTGTCTCGTGCGTTCTTTTTTCCAATTTTAGTCAGCCTTCACGTTACAGAAGGCTAGCGCATGTCTATGTAATAGAATTTTCTGAGACAATGGCTGCGTCCAAAACAGCAGGACGGGTCCTCCGAAGGTCGAATTCGTCGRCCACATTCGTCACAGCGCCGYGACGAAGTACATCCAAAACCGAAGACTCCTCTGATGCGGCCGACAAATACGTCCTTCCTTTGGCCCGAATCGAAGGACAGGTCCGATGGATCCTTCCCGGCCCAGCATATCCCATAATGCATTGCGGCCCGACCGGAGATTTTTTTATGCTAGTAATGGCAGACGAAGCGAGAGAAAAGAATACATTTTAAATAAAAATATGGTGATTTAAAAATTAAAAAAATTAGCGGTTGTAATTCTAATACTTTTATCATTTGTATGGACATGTTTTTACATATTATTTTTTCGTCATAAAAAACGCAAAATAAACATGAACCTACAGCGGGTCAATTAGTTCTTCAAATGATACCTTTAAGTTAATTTTATAGTTTTGTGATATTAATAATGCTAATGTATTAATATTTTTCTAGTTTTGATTTAAGTTTGCTTGTTTAGCGTCATCACAGTTGCTAGGTGACAAGACATACGCCGGGGTAAGGAGGGGAGGCTAGACCGTCCAAATTCACAGCCTCTTTTTTTCCCAGTCTTCCCGGTCTACCAAGGACCCGGCCCGCCGAGACCGGGGAGTCTGGGTCCTCCGGAGGACCCGTCCTGCCGTTTTGGACACAGCCAATGAATTTTGGTTTTTCTTTTTTTTTCTTTTTTCCCAGTAAGAGGTTTTTATTTAATAGAATGTTTGGACCAAAAAAAAAAAAATTGCAATATATCACCTTGCTTACAGTATTGCAATATTACAGGATATATTGTATCGTGACCCATCTGTCATGATATGTATTGTATCGCCAAATTCTTGCCAATACACATCCCTACAATTAAGTAAATCAGGTTATTATGTTTTAGCTTGCAAAGCACAAATGTTAAGCTGGTTCATTTAACTGGACATTAAACACAGATCATCAATGGGTGACAAATGTATCTGTTGAGAAGTGTGGTGCTATTAGTAAAACTAACAGCATAAATAGTAGTACACAGTGCTATGAACAAGGAAGAAACTACTCCACTTTCCATCAGTGTTCAGGTTTATCAATGAGAAACTAACAAGATGGACAGAAAAAWAGCTGAAGTAACTGATTACTTAACATTGCTGTGGGGAAATCGAGGGCCTGTTCTGTAGCATGTGATCAACACATGACTGGGAGGCTGCTTCAGCAACTTCTAAACCATATGACTGAAAACTGAGTCACTGAACACCAGCTCCGGTGTAAAACCAGTCCTTATCCTCCGGCAAACAAGAACACCGGCTTGTATCAGGAACTATGGGACCCAAAGCACGGAGAGGGTCGCCATGTACCCACAATAATTACTGTTGTATTAAACCAAATGACACAATAAGAGCTGTCTATCATGAAGCCAGTTGTTAACCCCGAAGGTTAAAAGTTGTCTGTTGACGCTCCTCTTTGTTCTGAACTGAGCCTTTAAACAGACAAGACGGCTATCAGTTCAGCTACCACCCTTTAACAAACACCTGGCTAACTAGTAGGTTAATGAACAACCAGCACATTATTTCCGACACATTAAAATGTTTCAACCTTTAAAAAGGTTGCCCTTAAATGTTCTCAGTAACACTGGTGTTCGTAATGGCCACAGTCAGCTGATGTTTCACTGAATTTGTCAATCCTGGTAAATGTTAGCATGCAGCTAACCTTAGCTACATGACCGCAGCGCTTTTAAAAATATATATATATATACTTACTATTCGGGATTCATAGTTGACTCGTAGTGTGCTTTATCTCCTTTCGTTCACAGGTAAACAACGCTGGCTGTGTAGTTATGAAAACCGGACTGGTGACTAGTTTGTGGAGCTCCCCGAACCGCGACCGGCTAGCTATTTTCTCCGCAAAAATCCAAAATGGCTGMAGCTTCAACCAGGAAACGGCTAACATTAGCCAGCTGGGATGAAAAGGAAAAACGAAAACAAACTCAAACGCGCGTCTTCGTTTAACCCTACGATAATCTTATTGACCGGACTATTTAGCAGTAAAGTAAAAACTAATCCAGAGACTTTGGACTGGTGTCTAACTGTGCTAGCCGGCTGGCTAGTTCTGTTCCCTGTCGTTAAGTGAGTTCCGCTACTGCACCAGAACCTRTCGAGCCCTACCGGAGGGATTACGTCATTTAGTGAAACGTGGCAAAGCGGAATCAGTCAGTGCCCCGTGTCAAAAACTATCACACAACTTCCGGACTTTGACTTCAACCCTGACAACCTGTTCGCACCGCGTTTCTCTTAAAACTAAAAAAAAAAAAAAAAAACAGGGAGGGCTTAGTTCTACAGCACGCTTCCTGCTTCTCTCCATCACTCTGACACGGACCTCAGGGTTACTGCTGTCTATAAACACCACTCTGTGGACTGTAACAGCTGTACAACCTGTGGCAACATGTTTACTGACAAGTGCATCCAGAATGTTCAGTCTAAAGTTGTCATGTTGCAACATCATTTAGAGCTCAGGGCATCTTACTGGGTTTTAAAATAAATGATCTCTAACCTCAATTATACAAAACACAACTCACACCATGCCATTATTTTGCTGCTGATCAGTTAAAGTGTTTTTTATCATCATCATCTAGCTGCTACTTTAATAAATCATATGAAACCAGCAAGGGTGGATTAAAAATTTTTACACACATTTTCCTTTTTGGCTTTATTTTTTAATAAATGACAACATGATGGAATCTGTTGTGTTTCTGTACACATTAAATCAACTTTAAATAGTTTTTAATATGTCCTGATATGCAAGTAAATAAAACAAAGCAAAATTACTCTGGAACAGTGACCTCAAACTATAAGTAAATTGTAAATTACCAATAAAAATTCAAATAAAGCTAACAAACTAAAATCGAAAATACATTAAAGACTTCAAAAATTCAGTTTTGTCACTGGTTCTGTAGCCGGGTGGTGCTTTGAGGACAATGTAAGGAAGGGTGGTTCAGTTTTCTTGCACAGAAAGTGGCATTATTACAGACCAAAGACTCAAAGCAGCTGTTTCTGGAGGGATTGGATTTCCTTCACATCTCATGTAGGAGTCCAGAAAGTGAGATGGCTGTAGTGAGAGTGATCTGCAGATCTCAGATGAGGACTGTGACCTCATGAACTGGTTCCAAATGAGCCAGAGAAAACAGATGGATAAACACATCACTGCTTTCACCCCAAGACAAAACTCACCTATTCCTTTAGTTAAATTATTCAGCTTACGAGACAGGCATTTTCTAAAAATGCAAAAAAAATTGGAAGAAAACATGTTTCTGAAATTTGGCATAAAACACATTATTTTAGGCTAAAAACATAACAGAAACCCATTTTATGATATAACTGTTTTGAACTTGGTGCTGCAGGTGCAACCAGAAGTGATACCAAAGTGGAACTCCCTGTTTCTCTTTATATGAGCAGAAAACGTGAAACTAACAAGCGAGTTGTAAAATCATTGTTAATATGGTGAAATGGGGGTATTCCATCAAAACTGCAACAACACATGTGAGGTTGCATTACTTTCCTGTGGATAAGAAGGTAAGGCCTGTCTGGGTCATCTTCTACACTACTTAATATTTTACATGGAGTCATTCCTCTCAGTCTGAGAGGGTCTTTTCCGTCACATTGGGAACAATATCTCAAAAACTGTTCACCTCAGCAGCGTGTTTGTTGTTGTTATCTTTTAAATAACGCACTTATTATTTAAAATCATTAAAGTTTGATATCACATGTGCTTTTAGCTTTTAAAAACATTTTGATTGCTTGAGAATGTGCTGTATTTGCTCAATCATTGGATATTATTGATACACACATTTTATTTGTTAGTGCTTGGTCCTTTTAAATTATTACAAAGCGTTACTTCTTTCAGGTAAAAAAAAACAAGTAAAAGCTGTGGAAAAATAATAGTTCAAGTGACTTTTGGTTTTGAATATAAGTGCATAAAAAGCAAAACGAATAGAAGTGATTATAAAATCTAAATAAATCAGTCACTTCATTTCAGCCTGACTGCAAACTGAAGCCCTAAGTCCCAGCAGGGTCCTTCACTTTTCTCCACTCAGTTGCACTGGAGTACGTAAGCTGTGTCAGACTGTCCATGGCTGACAGGATCGAGGAGAAAAAGTGGTCCGAGTGGGTCTGCAAGGCTCCAGACTGCCTCTCGATAAGCAGAAGGGTGTCTCTTAAATCTGCAAATGAAGGGACAAGAATATAGGTCTGATTAAGACACTGCAATGAAAAAAAAGGTTGAATTTCTTTTTTTGGGGTGGGGGTGTATAAGACTGACGTGGAGAGGTGGCGTTGATGCAGCTGAGGAGATGCTGTCCAGCATGCAGAACACAGGAAGTCAGAGATTGGTGCTCGCTCATCGCCTTCTGGAAGCTCTGAAAACACACCAGCCACACACAGAACACGCTTTAAAGTTGCACTGCCACAAAAGTTTAGGAGGCCGGTGATGTTGGCATGTTTCTGCAGAGTAAGACCCTTCCTTCCTCTTTGTGATTTGCTCAGCCAGCACTCTCACCCCATGCAGCTGGACAAGCTAAGCAGACTTGACAAACTGCAACAAGTACAGAAACGTCAGCGTGAAACTTCTCATCTATCTCCTCAGATAAGTGACACATAATGACCCGGGTAACCAAAAAAAAAAAAAAAAAAACGTGATTCATCAGACCAGACAAACATCTTGCGTTGCTTCATGGTTCATTTCTGAAGCAGAGATTTGTATCTCACTGGGATGTGACTGATGGCGACAAGTTGGAGACACAAAACTGTGAGAAATGACTTGAACTTTCACACAGAGTTACACCCAATTGGTTTTTATGACACATTTGCGTTAGTTTGAAATAGCAAATAAAATGCAAAATTCACGTGCATTTCTTTTGTTTTTAAGTGTATTGCTTACCCCTTAACTTGGGTCTTTGTTTACATCAGAGRGTAACTCAGTTCAGAAGGTCAAGACAAGGATACTTGATGAGACTTGTTTGGAAGGACATATCAATGTTGATGGCTACCAAAGTTAGACTACTTTGTGCACTTGTTTTGTCAGTCCTTCTATAAAAACCTGGACTCTGAACGCTGAGGTAGAGAAAAGAATATGTGCATTTGAAATGACCAGCTAATACCACCTGCTGCAGGTCAATTATGGTAGTCCTCCCACACTACAAATGCTGAGATCCGCCATAGAGTCCATGTCCTCACTGGGGATCATGATTCCTTCCTAATGCAGATTGAGAAGAAGAAATGGAAGTGGTTTGCCCATGTACTGAGGGCCAGGGGWACACCTCTCTGAGCCCTCTACCATATTGCTAGGGATCAATCCAGTTGGAGGTTGCTGGTAAATGATGTTCGTAGTGCCCCCACAGTAGTAAGCTAATGGACTTATGATGATGATAAAATGTTTTACTTACGCCTCAACTTCATCACAATTTATTCTGTTTTTGCCTCTGGCCAGTCACAGTTTTGCTTCAGTGGTTGTCTTTGTCTTGTTTGTCTCTACATGGTCCTGTGATGGATTGTGACTAGGGGTGTAAATTACTAGCTTTATTACAATACAATATTACATTGATTTGTTTGGATGACGATACGATGTTTCTTGATACCACAAAGTCTGTCATGATACAATTTTGATTCAATTCAATTCACAAGTCTACCATCAATATGATGCAATATCATACGTCCATAACACAATCGTGTATAGTTATGTTAGATGATATCGATCCACATTGGACAATAATAATAATGATAATGATATGACTGATGATTTTTTTTTTTTACTTGATGTAATTAAATCATTAAGCATATAATCAATATATCAATGTGGATCGATAAATTGATGCCCCTACTTGCGACCTGTCCAGGTTGTACCCCTCCTCTCCTACACTGCTGGACATAGGCAACAGCAACCTCTGTGGCCCGGAAAGGAAGAAGTTGATAAAGATAGAGGGTTAGTTGCAAACGTCCCCAAAGTCGTCTCACATTTCTTGCACTTTCTGACATAGAAGCTAAAGCAAGACAGATTTGAGATGAGTTCCTGACACCCGCAATGAACCTGAGGCTATTTTGAGAGAAAACTTGTCATTCCAAATATTCTAACAGGTTTTAAACTCCAGCAACATGAGAGTAAGGCCCTGTGAGAACCCTCACTAATGTTTCAACACATTTTGGAAACTTGTTGGTGAATGCTGTTTGCAATTTGTCACACATAGGCACAGCTCAGTGAGACACTGGCTTTATACTGTATGTCCATCCTGTGGTTTTTCAGCTGTGGGAATAGGTCAGCAGGGCTATGTAAACCTATGCACATCAAACTGAAACAGACCTTATCAGCACTCTAACTTCCAGCTTCTTTACAAGTGCAGATAATATGCAGCCGGCCAATCTTTTCCCCTACATGCATCAATGAGCCTGGACTGATCATGACTCTGTTGMAAGTTTACCATATTTTTTCTCCTTGGATCACTTTTTAAATGTCCTGGCCACAGTTGTGGTGATGCTATAATCCAGAAAGCAGTCTAAGCTATCACAATTTAGCCCTTATTAATGTTGTTTTTTCCTGGTATATCAACTTCAAGGACAGAATGCCCACTTGCTGTGTAATGTTTTATACCCACTGGTGTCATGAGACAAAGCTTTACAGTTCAGTCGTTAGTGATCGTAATGTTACAGCTTGAGAAAACAAAGCTAATTTTATTACCCTGAACAACATTTGTTTCCTAACGATACACGTCCACTAGTGCACACATGGGTCTAAGCATGGGCAAAATCGTGCGGTTTACGCTCTAAAACAACAAGTATGGTAAGTGTGTTTTATTTATTGACTCTGCAGCTTAGGTCTCACCTGATACTCAGGCAGAGATGATTTCACAGAGTCTATGTCCACAGTGGGTGCCGCAAGCCGCTCCATCCTCTCTGTCAGTGCATACAGCTGCTGGATGAGCAGCTCGAGGTGTGAACAGAAAACCTGGAACATACAGAACACTTATTCTTGCTTCTGCTTGTAATGGTTAACTCAACACAATAAAAATGTTACACTACAGCTAGATATTTCAAACGTGATAAGCTGTGAACAGCTTAGAAGTTTGTTTGGCTACTCCCATCTTTTATGTACAGTTTATGCGAAAATAATTACTTAATAGCCTCATCTAAAACCATCTCAAACAGATTGTTCAAAGAGATGTTTCCCTACAATAGCTTCCCTATTTTGGATCCGTTCAATCTGTTTTTAGTGAATGGTTATGTGCCACAGGCCTTTAAGGTTGGTATATTTAAATCCTTACTTAAGAAACTTGATCTTGATTCAATCCAAATATAGACCGACATCCAAGCTCCAATTCCTCTAAAACAAATGATGAGAAAGTGTTTGCTGTCACAAAGAGGTTCTGAGCTGAGATACATCCCCTTCACATAGGAAGTGCTATGCCCTTTGCTGAATGTTTACAACCCATGGCAAGGGAGGAAAAAAAAACATACAGGTAGGCTGCAAACTGTGCACAAGTTTGGTGCTGATTTCTAGAAAACCCCAAAAGTTTCAGCTGCAGCTTGAATGCTGCCTATGTGTCTAATCATCAAAGAAAAGTCCAGGCATCCCATTTACTGAGGAGGAAAAATGTGTGCAGAAGTGTAAGTTTATAAGTAAAATTATCTTAAAGCCCTGGTATGATAAAGGTAGTGCGTCCTAGTGTTTTAGCACTCAAGATTGGTCTTGGTCTTGAGACCACTTTTTGATGGTATTGGTCTTGTCTCAGACTCGACAGCATTTGTACTTGGTCTTGTTTTGGTCTAGGAATATTGAGGGCTCAGGATTTTATTTGAAGACCAGTCAAGACCACAACTGGGGAAATATCACTAAATTGCCAGAATATTGTCTAATTTATTTGTTAATCTCCATGTTTCAAAGAATGTAAAATGTTCTGATTCAAATCCAACAGTGACTCATTGCTACTTATGTATGTATTTTTATTACCGCTGTCATCCAACCCCACTCCCTTTCATTCGCACGCAGTGCTCCAAGAAAGTGAGCAGTGGTTGTCTGAAAGTTGAAGAAGATGTCTGTAAAATCTTCAATAAAATAATTTGGCTACATAAATCATAAAGAATATATTTATAAAACAACATCTAAGGAGAAAACATACAGCAACTTTCAGAGATGGTGGGGACGGTATCAAACTTTTATTATCACTTATAAAGAAAGCAAAAGGAATGGTAAGCTATGTGTAAGTGATGTTAGCAAAGCTAGCTAGCTAACGTTAGCAATCTGCCTCTGTATAAAATTCTTTACTCAACCCTCACACAAAGGCTGTGTCCAAAACRGCAGGACGGGTCCTCCGAAGGTCGAATTTGTCGGCCGCATACGTCACAGCGCCGCGACGAAGGACGTCCAAAACGGAAGACTCCTCCGATGCGTCCGACAAATACGTCCTTCTTTTTCCCCGAATCGAAGGACAGGTCTGATGGATCCTTCCCGGCCCAGCATATCCCATAATGCATTGCGGCCTGACCGGAGATTTTTTTAAGCTAGTAATGGCGGACGAAGCGAGAGAAAAGAATACGTTTTAAATAAAAATATGGTGATTTAAAAATTAAAAAAATTAGCGGTTGTAATTCTAATACTAATGGACATGTTTTTAAATATTATTTTTTCGTCATAAAAAACGCGAAATAAACATGAACCTACAGCAGGTCAATTAGTTCTTCAAATGATACCTTTAAGTTAATTTCATAGTTTTGTGATATTAATAATGCTAATGTGTTGATATTTTTCTAGTTTTGATTTAAGTTTGCTTGTTTAGCGTCGTCACAGTTGCTAGGTGACAAGACGTACGCCGGGGTGAGGAGGGGAGGCTAGACCGTCCAAATCCACAGCCTCTTTTTTTCCGGTCTTCCCGGTCTACCAAGGACCCGGCCCTCCGAGACCGGGGAGTCTGGGTCCTCCGGAGGACCCGTCCTGTCGTTTTGGACACAGCCAAAGAGATTTAGTCAACACTAGCTATACGTATTAAGCTAGTTACCCTATGTAAAGTATACTCAATGTTTTAGAGCACTAGTTTCCTTTCTTTTCCAGTCTTGGTCTTGACTTTTGGGTTAGGTGGTCTTGACTACAACATTAGTTTGTCCTGTTATGGCATCTAAACACTAATAGTAAAACTCTCTCACCCAGGAACCTAGAGAGTAACTGTTAAACAGAAGGATGATGTTTCTACCTTGATGCGTTGCATCAGAGAGTCACTCTTCTCCTGAAGTTCTTGGCTGTTCTTTTGGCCATCGAGGAGGGTGGAGGTACATAGCTCCTTTACCAAAGTCTCAACTTCTCTGACACTGGACTGACCCGGTCCTCCTCCCCCAGGTTTAATCATGGCACCAAAACCACTTATAAAGGTTTCAGAGTCCATTTCATGGCTCTTGGATGAACACATTTCTGTTATTTAAGGAAATAAATCAACATTATTCCAAACAAATTGGAAGACTTGATTATTTAAAGCTGGACCATTTATAGTAAACAAATACCTGTCTGTGCAGCATTACTCTGTTCTTTGCTATCATTATTTCCATCCTCATCTTCACGCCCCTGTTTCTCAGACAATGTGATGGTGCTGTGGTCAAGAGATTCAAAGCTGGCTGTCACAGGTCGGCTCAGCTGGGCCGTCACCTCCCTCACCTGCACAAAGGAACCACACACTTTAGCTGTGAGAAAGCAAAAATGACACATCAACCTGAAACCATTTTGATTTGTCCCGCCAAAGATCTCACACACTGTTCCTTCAAAACACAGACACAGACACGCGGTGTCGTCTTTATCCCTTTGGACAAAATATTAACAGAAGAAACCTTATGGGTGTTTAAACCAGTGGTTCCTAAACTCCCATAACTGAACCCTTTTCAGTATCAGTTCACTTTTCTTTTCAGTCGCAGCACTTGATTAATTGTGACAAGACGCTGAAGTCTCAAACAAGTGCATGKTGTTTAAAAAAAGAAAAAAACTGAAGAACTGAAACTGCATAATTAGCCAGTCAGGGTGAAGTGTAWTTTTAGACTGTTCCAAAGCTTGTCATGTGTTTTGTTCTAAAAATATTTCTTGTGAAAGTGATTAATTTTATATCCAGAAATGAAAACTTAGAGGTCCAACAGTCATGAAGCTGCATAATGAAGAGGARTAATGGATCAGTTTGTTGCTACTGCTTATGTCTGTGCTGTGAAGGACAAGTCCCTGCTGGAGGAGGGCCTCACAGTCCCGCCTGCACATGTTGAAGCTGTAGTTGCTGCAAATGTTTAACTTTAGGGGTGAATCGATTTCCTTAATTTTGGGAGACTGGTCAAAGTATCGACCGAAGGTTTGCTTTGGACCATTAGGACATGAGTGTGTGACACCGGTATAGTCTCACCTGTCTGGACAGCTGCTGCAGCTCCTCCAGCTGCTCAGGAAGAGGCAGGAATTCCTCGTCAACCTCTCCACAAACACACCTAGAAGGTGGCTGAACCCCGGTGGAGCGGACTAAAGATGTAGAAATGAAAGAAGACGCAGTTTTGTGCTGCTGATGGTTGCTACCTTTCCTGCTGTGATAACCTGTTTCATCTTCATCCCTACTGCAGTCCATACTATCCAAGACCAAACTCATGGATTTGGTAAGGGACACTGGGGTACTAAAAGATGGACCGTCTGAGGATTTGGGGAAACCCTGATGGTCAGGTGACCTGTAACTTGCACAAAAAGTGCCACTGTCTCTGGTCTTCTCTTCCCCACTTTCAGAAAACTCAAACCCTGAAAGGCTGGCAGAGCTGCAAAAGTGGTCCAATTCAATTCCCGAGTCTTGCATGTCAGGGTTTGTCTTCAGAAAAGAGTCTCCTTGTAGCTCCRAGCTGCTCCACTCACAGTCCACATGTCCTGGTCTCAGAGGGTAGGTGTAGTCCAGCAGGGCATTGTACTCCTTGTTTGGGTTCCAGTCAGCAGATTGCCTGTTTGGAGAAGGGGGGAGCGTTTTAGGAATGGCACAGGTCCAGTAGTCCATCTGAAAGGAAGACATAGAGTCCACTTTTGAGGATACTCTGGGAAAACTTAGGATGGAGCCCCCCCTACTGCTCCGTTCCTGTAATCGGAGTTCAGTCTGGGGTGACTTGGAGTTCCGCGAACGAGGAGTGTAGGTGGGATAAAGGACTGTTGAGGTCAGCCGTGGTCTCAGAGGAGGAGTCAGTCTTTGGACCTCCAGAATGGAACTGAAGGGGTTTTGCAGACTTGACTTGCTGCCATGGAAAGAGGTCTGGAGACCCCTGACATTCACAGGTGAGCTGAGGTCTTCTCTGGAGGCTGTTGGAGGCGACGTGTCATTGTGAGAGAGATCAAGGCTCCTTTCTGCCTCTCTCGCTGCCTCTTTCAGGTATTTTATGTTGGTGTGTTCTGTTCTGCGGACATTCTGAGGATTTTCCTTGGTGACAGCAAACAGAGACAAAAACACTACTTATTACTTCATTTGGAAAACTTTACTTTAAAAAGTACAGTAAAAAGGAAAAAATCCATGTTCATAACAGACATAAAATACGGTGTTCTAAATTATTTATTGCACTCTTATTTATTTTGCTTAAAAAAGACCAAGTGGTGACTAGAACATGTTCAATTCTCTAAAATTTAAATAAGTGAGCCTTGATGTCTTGATTTTTATCTACTTTAGCAAACACTGGCCCATCCTTTAAGTAGAGCAATCATATTGTTACATCCCACATTGCATTTTTCAAAACATTGCTTGTACAGTCCCAATAATATGATTTGTGAGCGTGAGCAGCACAACTGAGCCACCTGTTAAAAGATGTTAGTTACTTTTGAAATCTACTTAATACTTCTTATTATCATAAATAAGTTTATATTTACGATAATCTAAATTTACATAAAGTTTTAGACTCAAAACTGATTCATGAAGATATATGTGTGTTTTTTGTGTATGTATGTATATGTATATATGTGTGTGTGTGTGTG